CCAATCATATTTACTTTCCCACGAAAAACAGAATGTATCCCAACATTAGCAGAACACCACGTACTTGCACTTCATGCATTAGGGTCACCATTCAGCACACATGCTAACTTTGCACAAGTTCAGACCTGGCCAAGGTCATGCACGAACCAAATCTAGCAATTTCAGAGTAACCCATAGCAACACTATATCCATCAAACAAAAAATGTGAAATGACTGTCCATTTCAGCTATGTAAGGGCACCAACAGTGAAACTGCAGGAGATCTTGCAGATGAGAACTGAGCTCCACTGCTGAGGTTGCACGAGGGTGGATACAGAGAGCTTGCTGGACACGATACATGGCTAAAGTTATTGCTATTTGTCCCTCACTTCCTTTTCACGTATCTTAAATTTACTTCCGGTGGATTTCTTTCCTGTGTTAACCAACCAATGTAGTGCTGGTCTTAATGTTTACAACAGACGAAGAAACAGTGGCAGAACACGTAGATTCAGAGCTTGCACTCAGGAGAGGGAAGAGAAGTACTGTGCAGTTAATCCAAAACAGGACACTTCAAAACATATATATATATAGTATATATTATATAATCTATATAATATATGAGTATATATATATGTGGACATGTTAAACAGATCTTGCTTTTGAATGACCAACATCTACTGCCTTCGTGACAACAGCGTCTGACTGAATGCATCGCTGCACATATGCAAGGCTGGGCATTCTTTGCCACCATCTGATCTTCCTTATCCTCCTTAAATAAAGAAAAACCCCTTTATTCCATGAGGGAGTTAAGCACTTCTTTTCCCTTTGCAGTCCCATTTGAACGTCACTTTCATGCATCCAGACGCTGAATCTCAGGGCGATGATCTACTTCTCTGGATTCTGTCCGAGCACGTATGTAATCACTGGTCTGCCGACTATTTTGTTGTCTGCTGTTCATTCGCCACTTTTTAATAGCTAAATACGTGTTCACAGCATACACTGCCATTGCCAAGAAACCAAATATCTACAAGAAGTAGAAAGAATTGTCAAAGAATTTTTGAAAACAAGAATAGTAGTTTCACAACAAATTCCTCAGAAGCTTAGTTTTCGACTTTATTTGCACTAACAAACCACAACAGCCTGTAAAATTGATGTTTTTCTTCTTCAATGAAAGAGAGAATCTGCAAAGGCAACTAAGATCAGTGGTCCCAGAAAACAAAGTTCTCTGTCTACAACATGACAATTAAATCCTGCACTGCAGCTTCAATGCAGAACCTCTTGTCAGGAGGAATACAGCACTTCCTCCAACAGCTCATTCCTCAGGGTGCACATAATAGTGAATGAATGACCAGTCCAGACCGTCAGCCCGGAGAAGGAGCTAGCTTGTAGTTCTTCCTATATGCTTCTGGAGAACCATGGGGTGATTTTCAACATCCATGTTTGGGGGAAGAAAAAAAAAGTTGCCAACTCCAGCACATAATTAATTTGCTTGACCTTACTGTTCTAGATTTAAAATCTTGAAGTACTACTATACTCGCTCCACAGAACAAAAACAATCTGTAGCGAACAAATTATGTGTAAGCAACTCCAATTTCTTGTGAATTTTTGGCTCTATCTTTTCCGTAGGCTTGGAATATAGAGCAGTATCATCTAAGCTAGCTATAGAGAAAGAAGCAAGACACGTTCAACTGTTACCATGTTCTCTGCAAGTCATGCGTCTGTCTGTTCTTGCTTCAAGCCTTAAGACAACTCAAAGGATGTCAATACTTTTAAAATCAGAACTAGCTTATAGCCAACTGCAAAATTAGAAGTAAATTGTAACAGCAAAGGCAACAGGAGTATTCAATGAACAAGGGAAAAGTTATTCTTAGTTTTAATAGAAGATAAGAGTCACATATTAAAAAGTTCAAATTCTTACCACAGCAGCAATTTCTGCTCCAGTTTTATGGTTTAAAGCAGCAAGTACTACAGAGGCAATGAAAAAGAAGAAAGTGCTGAGTCCAGTGTTGACCAGATCCTAAAAAAATAAATTCATAGCATTACTAAACAATGATTCTTTGCTTGCTCTTATTAGAAGTGATGAAACAGAAGAGGGTTAGAACAAGAACTACAGCAACACTTCCCCACTTTCTCTGTAGTTTATCACTTCTACAAAAGAAGGCAAAGATTATTGCACAGGAAGTGTCACATGTGCACGCATCAGTCTGTGAACGGAAATCAAATAGCATGTACACATACAGCCCCAGTACAGATTCTGGATGCGTTACCTCAATTTCTACTGGGTTCATTATAAAAGTACTGTCAGCATTAAAAATAAGTAAAGCTATTCTACCTCAGCTGACGCTGAAGTACCCTGAATATCAAACTTCAGCACTCCAGGAACCCCTTGTTCTCTTTCATATCACAACAGTGTCCAGATAACAGTCATCAACATTTCTACAAATTCTCTGAGGCCTTCATTGTAGGAAACTGTACATCCTATGCTACTTCGATGAATAACAGCTGCCCACGTTGTGAAAATACACAGGGTTTTACGTATTTACTTCATTAAATTGATGTTTCAAGAACATTTCAAGACATTTCAGAACATATACACAGCAACACCCCAGGGGCACCTACGTTCAGGGAAAATTCTTGCTTTGCTCCAAGCACACAAATATGACAAGCAACACACAATTCAGTTCTACATATGCAGCATAAGTCACTTGGTGTTCAGATCATTATGCTGCCATGCCTTCCACAAAGCAGGGTCATTAGCATATCACTGGAACATAAGAATTCTGAATGGCAGCTATTAGCACAAGAATGATAGTATCAACACAAGATTATCTGGTCAGACTCCAAGGAAAAAAAAGTCAAGAGTTGAGACTTCAAAATAATACAAGAAACAAAGTGTTCATTAGGGACTAGCTGTTCAGCATGTTACTCGGGGCATCTTTTACAGTTTTTAAAAAGATTTGATATGTATGTACACTGTGCTATACATAATACACTACAGAGATGCAGGAAATAACAGAGTATCGTGGTAACTGAATGCACAGCTGAAGCCAAGGAGCAAGGAAGGGTGTGGAGGAATCAGGGAATGGCAGTTCAGCACAAGTATCCTGAAAGAACATGAAACCAGCAAGCGGTGAATGCTATCATAGCCAAAAGGGATGGAAAGAAAACCTACGTACAAGTTTGCTGTGCAACTTACAGTTTTGACTTCAAAAAAACAAACAAAAAAAAACAAAAAAAAAAACCAAAAAAAAAACAACACACACACCACACTGCATATGCCAGCTCCCACTGTTAAAAAAAAATCCCATCATCACTCTTTAATTAGAATTCAAGGACAAATTTGTTCTACTCGACTTTCTTCTTTCACACACAAGCGAGGCTCACTTCCTGTTCCTGCCCCTCCACCTACTACAAATATAATTTTTTCTCCCCCCAAAGTGCATCTTGTGAAGGGCTGTAAGAAGTTAGGCTCAGAAAACTGAAGATATAAATCTAAATTTATTCCCTGAGTATGAATCCCATGACTATGTTCCAGCTACATAGCAAAAAGCCTTTGAAAACACCATTGTCATCCAGCCTCCCTCGAAACATCTGATTTTCTAGCCACGACTGGAGAATGCTTTAGAAAGTAATTGTAAAAACGGAAAGTTTCTGGTGCTGTGTTATTCACAGGGAAAACTCTGTATTTTGAGGGTGCTGACTCAGCAACAGCTGGTTATCAAAATTAAGTTCAGGGATCAACTGTAGGATGTATCACTGTGGCCTGCTCCTCACCTGAAAAGGGGACTCTCCCAAGAAACCGGAGAGGCTTCCATTCCACTGCTATTTCCACCCACATGTTCAGATTTCATGAGCCCAGTAAGACCCAAGCTGTCTTGCCAAATCATAAGGAAACAAAAGCAAATTGTGGGTCTTAAACTCCTACTATCTTTTCACCTGCCAGAGAATAATTAGAGATACATTTTATCACTGTTCAAGCTTACTGAGATAGATCTTATCTAATACTTAAGGCATCAAACAAAAATGGAATATTAATAAATCATTGTTGCAGTTTTAATTATATAACTTCTTGCATTGCAGAGACAAAGTTAAGAAATAGAGATATCAGAAAATAAATGGCATTTCACAATTTCTCAAAGTGTGCTCCTCTCTTACTCTGAGTTTGGCAGAGGGGTTGCTAACAACAGCTGTGGTTCTCATCTGCACAAACGTTTTCTCACTAGAGGGGAAGTCTCACTATATATGACAACAGATACCAGATTCAACAATACTCATCATTTTCATCAAGCCTCTAGAGTAAACATATATATGTCACCAAGAATGCTGAGACTAAATACTGAGAAGAGAGCAGCTATGGTCTTGAATAATTAAAAAAAAAAACATTAAAGAAAATTAGTTCATTCTAAGGCCAAGTTGTGTATTTCACTAGCAGCGTACATTTGCCACCTACAGGAAGGACCTACAGAATGGAGACAAAATCCTAGAAGAAATAGCTCATAACTTAGTAATTACAGTAGGTAAGCATCTCAAGATGCGATGCCATGACCGAAAACAAGGGAGAAAAAAACACTTATACGTTCCTTTGGACATACGGACACAACAGGTGTAAGGTGGTTATCTTACCTTTGCAAGGGACACTGGAATGCTGCATCCCGTTCCGGTATCCACATTTTTAAAAGTATGTTGAAAAATTGGACAGGGTACAGAGAAGAGCTACAGAAGTTATTGGAAAGGAGGAGAAAATTTCTCACAGTATGAATCAAAGAACCTGAACTGCTCTGAGTATTAAAAAAAGATTGACCTGTGTACATGAAGACTCCAGCATTCAAATAATAAAAAAATACCAGCTGTTTTAGAAGCTTAGCATAGAAAAGCACAACAAAATTAAGTGTAACAAAATTAACAGCTGCAAGGTTAAGACAAAAGTCATATTCAAAATGAAGTAAGTTTTAATTGTAAGGGAGCTAACCATCAGAACACACAACCAGAGATGTGCTCAATATTCCACCTTTTCATTTCTTCTAATCCAGGTTATGTTTTTGCAGACAAACATTTTGTACTTCCTTACTGCCATACTTAAAGACTAAGTGTATGACGCGTAATGCTCTATGATTTATGCGGTCAGATGTGCTTATTAAATTAATCCTGATTACCCCAACTTTGAATCTGTCAGCTTGATCATCTTGCCAAAGGAGAACAGTGTAAGCAAGATAGCTAGACCTATCCACAACGTGGCAGACATTATCCTCTATCTCCACGCTACAAATTGACTTGAAGGCTTTTTGTAAGAAGTCTGAGATAGCGCAGAATATGAAATACTGCTGAAATTGGACTGCTGGTGCCTTTGTCATGATTTGTCCAGGAAACCAAAGATCTAAGTATGTCAGAAACTTTGTCATCATCACTGACATTTTATTGTATTTTACTATTCACAAAGAATATCAAATTTGTCCTTGCAAAGAATCCAACAATTCAAACCTAAAGAATTGATTCCATCTTGAGGCTCCAATTTAGTAGTTTCTGCAATTCCATTTTCCTATTTAGATCAAAACCTTTTAACACAATTAATAATTGATTCACATTCATGCAACAAGGCCGGTTTCTTGAAACGCTGGAACTAACACAATCTTTCATATCCACAGATCAGATTGTTTGGAGCTTAAGGAGCAATGACACTCATCAGTAACATCACCATACAGACCTACAATAGTAGTGTTGCAGATGCAATTATCAGTGGAGATTTTTAATCCAAAATTTGGTACTTACTACTTAGAGCAGAAAGATAAGGAAACAAAAATACAATGGTTTTGGATGAAACCAGAACAGAAACAACAGAGAACGAACTACAGCAAGAATTCAAGAAGTAAAGAACACTCCCTAAAATAATGTAGCTTTCTTCCACGTAAGAGAAAATGAATAACCATGACAATAAAAAGAATAAACTAATTGGAAAAAGATGAGCCTTTTCAAATCTGGCCATGATGTAGCTGAAGTTCTTGCTATTATATTTATAGACAAAGTAAAAACCACATCACACAGACGGAAGAATTTCTGCTGAAATTACAGCAACCTCATGAGACAGTATGCTGTGCCATAAAATACTGTACAAAGCTGCCATCCATAACAAAGAAGAAAATCTATGAGCTGAACCAAATCCACTCTAGACTGCTGCTGCTCCCTTTCTCCTTTCCAAAATGATTTAAAATGAAAGACCAACTTCTGGTCACTCGCTAGTTATTTGCAAGTTATTCTGTTCCGTCACCAACACTGTTATTAGTCCAAAGGAGAGTATCCAGGGACATGCATTTGCCACCGGCATCGTCAGCTATCTGTCCCACTTCAAAGGAGCATAATGCAGAGCAGGCATCCTAACTTGTGGATGAAGGTGGGTTTATGCCAAGACAGCATTTTGTACTAAAATAGGGTGAGGCTTTTATTCTGCTAGTTCTGCTGTAAAGGTGGGAAACTCTGGAAAAGTAAAGTGGACAACATCCTACAGTCTTTCATTTTTAAGGGTCTGGGCAAGGTATGGCTCCTGGATTAATGAGGATGGAGAAGCTGAACTGGTGCGATGAATGAGAGGTCTGTTAATCGATCTGAATGCTCCCATTAAGCAACTCCTGAAAGCTGCAAGGTACATCAGCTTTGAATGCTTCTGTTTAGTCCTCCAGTTTGGTACGTTACCAGGAGCTGGCTCCAGCGCTCAGAGGTGTCAGGAATATCCATGTGTCTTTGTCGCTCTCCATGGCTTTGCACATGCAAACTTTTACGGAGACACTCAATCAAAATACATGCTCTGCCTTTTTATCCTGTATTTTGCAGTGAAGTAAGACACTGCAAAAGTGACCTGGTACTATTTAAAAGGGAGACAGTACCATATTGCAATTGTAATTTGCATAAACAAAAAACATAACATTAAAACTGGTGGTTGCTTTCGTCATTTGCTTTCTGAAATCCAAGAGTTTACATTTAGATGGAGTTTACAGCAGCTAAATGAATGTAATCTGGAAAAGAAGC